AAGAATAGCCAAAAGTGCCCACTGTGTCCTGAGAATAAACATTTGGAAGATGGTTAGGAGGAATGGGGGAGTAAGGACTCTCATTCTCCTTGTTCTGAAATGGCCATCCGTCCTGGGTGACAATAGCCCTCCTTATTCTGCCCGTCTATTACAGTCTAAGCATTATTGGAACACTGCAGATATTTATTCCAAACTATTTCTTTAAAAAATATCTTGTTTTGAAGATGGGTGTTTTTAGGTTACCAATTTTAGGCCAAGTAAGTTTTTTTCTAACCTTCATTTAGTTTGTGAAAGTGTCTCTTTTTGAATGAAGCAGGAATACTTAATAATTACTGCAGTTGCCTCCGATTGCAGATCTTGAAAAAAGAGCTATTTTTATATTCCAACTGATAGGCACATTTTAATTACTGTTTCCTGGGCTTAGGCTAACTGCAAAAACTCTGTTGGTGAAATGAAAATATGACATCATGTGATCAGCTATTTCTTGAGTACACATGTACCCAGCACACTGAAGTCTTATGGTAGGTGGGATTTCAATAACCAGAGTAGATGATGCATTAAGTCCTGTAGAGGCAAAGGATAGGTTAAATAACAAACTTAGCTTTTAAATAAAGTAGTATCTTTCTTAGAATAGTTTTACTTGCTTTAAATATGGAAGGTGAGAAAAGTTCAGTGTGTTAACAATTGCTCTGTAACAGGAAAATGTGAGACCTGTTTAAAGAAGTAAAAATATGGTCTTTACATCATTGAAAACAGACCCTCAGGAAAGCAACCAAGAAGTCCTTCACAGGTGAATGAATAACCGTGGTACATCCATACAGTTGAATGTTATTCAGTAAGAGAAATGAGGTAGCATACCACAAAAAGACATGGAGGAAGCTTAAAGGCATATTGCTAAGTGAAGAAGCCAGTCTGAAAAGGCCACATACTATATGATTCCAACTGTATAACATTCCAGAAAAGACAAAAGAAAAAGACAGCAAAAGATCAGTGGTTGCCTGGGTTTGGGAGGAGGGTAGCAGGAATGAATCAGTGGAGCACAGGGGATGTTTAGGGCAGAGAAACTATTCTGTATGAAACTGTAGTGATGGGTACATGTCTTTATACACATTTGTCAGAATCCATAGGTTGTACAACACAGAGTGAACCCTAATGTAAACCACAGACTTCAGTTAACAATAATGTAACAATATTGGCTTATGGATTGAAACAAATGTACCACGCTAACGCCAGATGTGCATAATAGAGAACTCTACTTTCCGCTCAGTGTTTCTGTAAATGTAAAACAGCTCTAAAAAAAGTCTATTAATTAAAAAAAAAAAGCCCATAAATGTTAGATATAGCCAAACTAGTAAAAATATCTTTTTACTAGAAAACATAAGCAGTAGAAAGAAACCTCAGATCATCAGCAATTATTCTTTTTGCAGGAAGTACAGATGACCCT